AATAGAGCATAATGCTCCTTTCCAATTAAGCAATAACAGAATCTGTTTCTCTCTTTTCTCTTTTAGCTTTTTCTCTCTTCTCTCTCATATCTCACTCTAATAAAGCATGACTATCTAATTTGGATGCATATAAATATTGTTTTCTCCGTTAGCCGCTCCCCTCAAAAAAATAAATTATGATTTCTCCTGGGATAGGATGTCTATTTGGAAAATTTAAATCCCACATTGAAAAGAGATAAGACATGAAAAAGTTATTCATTTGGGCCACCTACCAGTTTTTTTATGCATCAAGCTCAACAGTGCTGGCTGTGAGGGAGCTGGTATAAAGGGAAACCCAAACATTGAAAAAGACAAGGCGTAAAGAGAGCTTATAAAGATTGTCCACTCTCACCTGATAAACCAATTTTATAAGTATGAGTTAAACCCAATATTAAAAAAATAACATAAGATGGTGTCAGAGCCTGTCCAAGTTCCAAAGGAGCACAAGCTATTGGCCTACTCAGTCCACTCTTGATGTCCAATTTTGGGCGTAATGAAGTGTATTGAGAGTCCCACTTTGGATGAAATGACCTGAAAATGTAATTATATGTGGGAGGCATCCCTCACCCTCACCTTACAAACTAGTTTTGTAGGGTTGAGCTAGGCCGAATTCAAGATGACAGAGATAATGTTTTTATTATTATTGATTAGAGCAGCCTGTGCTCTTAAATAGAATACAATATATTTAGGAAAGGAAATTCCTAATAAATACTTATCATTGCCCTCAATCAATTCTATAAGTAAGGACCAATAATTTCTATAAATACATACACAGCTAATCAAATCCTATTTATGGGATTTTAATCCTATTTAACTATAAAATATACCACTAATTAACACATGTACAGCTCGTTCTGACACTCCCCCTCAAGTTGGAGAGTGGATGTTACTCATTCCCAACTTGCCGATAATAGATTGCAATGTAGAACCACTTAATCCTTTTGTAAGAACATCTGCCAGCTGATTTCCAGTTGATACAAATGGTATACATATTGTCCCACTATCCAATTTTTCCTTGATGAAATGTCTGTCTACTTCGACATGCTTCGTTCTATCATGTTGCACTGGATTATGTGCAATGTTTATTGCTGACTTGTTGTCACAATATAGTTTCATGGGTCCATTCCATTCAATCTTTAGGTCTTGTAGAATTATTTTCAGCCATAGGAGTTCACAAATACCTAAAGCCATAGCCCGAAATTCTGCTTCTGCACTTGACCTCGCAACAACGTTTTGTTTTTTGCTCCTCCAAGTCACCAAGTTTCCTCCAAGAAAAGTACAATATCCGGATGTGGATCTTCTGTCATCTACTGATCCAGCATAATCAGCATCTGTATAGGCTTCCAAAGTAATTCCTTGACCCTTTGTAAATAGAATTCCTTTTCCAGGAGTGCCCTTCAAGTATTGCAAAATTCGGTAAACAGCTCTAAGATGATTTTCTTTGGGATTATGCATGAATTGACTCACCACTCCCACTGCATAAGCTATGTCTGGCCTAGTGTGAGATAAATAGATTAACTTTCCAACCAACTTTTGATAGGATTCTCTGTCCACAGTTGCATCTTCAACAAATTCACTAAGTCTGTGATTTTGTTCAATTGGAGTTTCTACTGGTTTGCATCCCAATTTACCAGTTTCAGATAATAAATCCAGCACATACTTCTGTTGAGAGATGAAAATACCGTGACGAGAGTGTGCCACTTCAAGGCCCAAAAAATATTTTAATCTGCCCAACTCTTTTACTTCAAATTCTTTTAGCAAACACACTTTTAGGCTATCCATTTCTGCTTGATGATTTCCTGTTACAATTATATCATCCACATAAACAATTAGTGCAGTAACTCCCCCTAAGGCTGAATGCTTAGTAAACAAAGTGTGATCTCCCTGACTTTGTTTATATCCCATATCTTTCATCACAGTGGTAAACCTGCCAAACCAGGCCCTAGGGGACTGTTTCAGTCCATAAATGGCCTTCCTTAGCTTACAAACTTTGTCTTTCTCAAAGTTAAACCCAGGTGGGACCTCCATGTAAATTTCCTCTTCAAGGTTGCCATGTAGGAAAGCATTCTTGACATCGAATTGCTGCAAATTCCATCCATAGTTAGCTGCTAGAGATAACAAAATTCTGACAGTGCTCATTTTTGCGACAGGAGAGAAAGTCTCATGATAGTCAATCCCATATGTTTGTGTGTACCCCTTAGCTACTAGTCTTGCTTTATACCTTTCTAGTGTTCCATCAGACTTGTATTTAAGGGTGAATACCCATTTACAGCCAAGAAGTTTTTTGTCATTAGGAAGCTCTACTAACTTCCAAGTTCCATTTTTCTCAAGTGCATCCATTTCAACTTTCATAGCTTCTCTCCACTCTTTGCTATCTAGTGCTTCGGTAACATTTTTTGGGATAGCGGTAGTGTTTAAATGAGCAAGAAAACTTCTATGATTGTTGGACAAATTATCATAGGATATAAAGTGAGACATTGGATACCTTGGCCTTTTTGTACATGCTCTAACATCCTTCCTTATTGCAATTGGAAGATCTCTAGCATCCATGGATATATTCTGCTCCTCTAAATCAGTCCCATCAACTTCAGTTTCAGGGGGCACAATTTGCTCCTCTAAAACAGTCTCATTGATTACAGTTTCAAGAATTGGGTCAGATTCTGGGACTTGCACAGGTTGGATAATAGGTGCTGCCCTTCTTGTGTAAACTTGTAGTGGACGAGTAGCATTAGAAGTCTGTAATGAAGTGGTTATAGGACTTGACTCGGGAGTCTTGGGCATAAAAGAAAGGTCTTTGAACAAATCATCCTTATCTTCGATGCATTCCTTCTCCCCCTGAAGATAAGGTTTGGAAAAAAAGGATTCGGTTTCGACAAAAGTGACATCAATAGACACAAAATTCTTTTTTGTTGTAGGTTGATAACACTTGTAACCTTTTTGGGTAGGCGAGTAACCAAGAAATATGCATTTAATAGCTCGGGGATCAAGTTTTCCTCGATGTGGAGAATGAACATGGACAAATGACACACACCCAAAGATCCTAGGAACTAGGTGGTTTGAAGTTTTGAAATTTGGGTAGAATTTGGAGAGGAGCTGAATGGGGCTGTTATTCTGAAGATTTTGAGAGGGTAAGCGATTAATCAAGTAGGCTGCAGTAAGAGCAGCCTCCCCCCAATATTGTTTTGGAACATTTGTGTGGAATAAAGATGCTCGGGTAACATTGAGAATATGCCCAATTTTTCTTTCAGCCACCCCATTTTGTTGTGGGGTGTGGACACATGATGATTCATGAATAATACCATGTTCAGTGAAAAAGGAAGACAATGTTTGATTAAAATAATCTTTGGCATTGTCAGAACGAAACCGTTTAATGGTAGTCTCAAATTGGGTTTTTATCATTTGGAAAAACAATTTAAATATTTGAGTGACTTCACTTTTTTGTTTTAAGAGATACATCCATGACACTCTAGTACAATCATCAATAAAAATGACAAACCAACGGGCCCCCGATATATTTGGGATATTGGATGGCCCCCAAACATCACTATGGATTAAGGAAAAAGGAGTAGACATTCTTTTATTATTATTAGGAAAGCTGACACGTTTGTGTTTAGCAAGTTCACAATCATCACAATGAAAATTTTCTAAGTTTATACCTTGAAACAAGGTGGGAAACATATTTTTGAGAGTGCTAAATGAAGGATGACCCAACCGGAAGTGACGCAACCAGATTTCTTTATTGAGGGAAGGAATAGATTCTGACAACAAAGACAGTGGAAGTTGACTCTTAATGCTACTTGTCTCACGCGCTTCCATAAGAAGGTAGAGCCCATTGTCCTCTCTAGCAAGTCCAATCATCTTCCCCGTTTCCTGATCCTGAAATTTGCAAAGTGTAGGAGTGAATGTTACCAAGCATTGTAAATCTGTTGTAAGTTTGTGAATAGATAACAGTTTGGCAGATAATTTGGGCACATGCAAGACATCTCTCAACATTAAATTTTGACTTAGTGGAATATCTCCCTTTCCTGCAACAGTAATAAAAGTGCCATCTGCAGTGACAATCTTTTTATTACTTGGACACGGTGTGTAAGAGATAAACTCTATAGAGGAATGGGTCATGTGATTCGTAGCCCCAGAATCAACAATCCATGTCCCTTTTCCTGTAGATTGTAAAACACTAAGAGCATAGGGATGAGAACTACCTGATAATGCCATGGAAGAACTACCTGTGTTTGTGGGTTTGACTAAAGAGTCTAGTAGTTCCCTTAGTCTTGTAATTTCTTCTGAATTGAAATCAGCAGTAGGTTTGGAATGACTTTCCTTGACAACACTTGATTGGACCAAGTGGGCATGTGCTGGTCCTCCTCGTTGAATGCCTTTGGTGTTCCAATTTCGGTTCTGATTTGGCGGTTTTCCATGAAGTTTCCAGCATCTGTCTTCGGTGTGCCTTGGCTTCTTGCAGAAGGTACACCATAGAGAATCCTTATTAACTGGTTCAGACATTCTGAATTTTGTTGGGAAAAAACGGCAAGATAGACCGTAAAATAAAATCGGCAATGCAGGCCGCACAGCGGAAACAATGGCAACGCAGGCCACAATTTTTAACAGGCTCCTATGGATTTTGGAGCTCTGATACCATGACAGAGATAATGTTTTTATTATTATTGATTAGAGCAGCCTGTGCTCTTAAATAGAATACAATATATTTAGGAAAGGAAATTCCTAATAAATACTTATCATTGCCCTCAATCAATTCTATAAGTAAGGACCAATAATTTCTATAAATACATACACAGCTAATCAAATCCTATTTATGGGATTTTAATCCTATTTAACTATAAAATATACCACTAATTAACACATGTACAGCTCGTTCTGACACAAGATATCATTAAATATTATTTTATATTCTTACATTGTCTGCTGAATAAAATCTTTGCATTTTGGTTTACTTTTTGCAGGTTTACTTCTGCTGAATTTCAGGAGTTATTTATCAGTATGAAGTCTTTGGGGATCCGTACTAATGGAGTTGAAGAAGAAAAAGACGTCTGTTTTGAGCTTTTAACAGGGAATTTATCATCTCCTAATGCTTCCGTCCCAGCACATTCTGTTCCTCAACCAAGTATTGAACTTGATCAATATTCTGATGAAGCTATGTTGGCCGATGTGTGTTTTTCAATGCATTATGAATCTCCCAGAACTGATTTAGCATGCCACAAGTGTTTTGTCTATCTAAGTAATGCTGATATCCACTGCTACCCGCATATAGTTGGAATGCTTGTTGGGTTCTTTCGTAGATTGTCTGCATATACTACTGGTTCTGAGAAATCCTCCGCGAGTGATACTGTGGATATCTCACAAACTTTTTCAAGCCTTGGGTTGCAAAAGTTTGGATTCTCAAATTATTTCGAAGTTGGTTCTGCTGATTCTGCATGCATTCCATTTGATTGCTTTCCGTTTGTTACAATTTACAATTCTGGTCCTCTTTGTAATCTAGAGAGCTCACTTGTGTATCCCTTTCCCGAGTGGAGAAACCATTTTGCTCAGAGGGATAGAAAAATAATTAGTCCCAAATATTTCCACATCTCTTCCTCAAAATGCAAGTCAAATTTCAGAAAATTTCTTGAATCTGGGATTGCAAGAATCTCCAATAATTTTTCAATTGAGTTGCAGCTGTATGGAATAAGAACACATTTTCATGACTCATCATGCATTATTGGATCAATCATGGTGCCTACATGCAAATCTTCCCTATTGTTTTCTGAAGACAATATGGACATATTATCTTCTTCTGAGGGGTTGGTACTTACGTCATCTTGGGGGCCTCACAGTTTTCAGGATTATCTATGGGGTCCTTCCACTGATAATTTATCCCCTATTTTAAACGTAAGGGTCAGGAAAGCCCATAACTTATCTTCAACTGCTAATTTAGAAATATGCATCGGCATTCAGCATGTGTACTGCATGCTGCCCTCTGAATATCTCTCCATCATCATTGGTTACTTTTCACTCTCTGATTGGGGTGGTTATTCTGGTGATCAGTTTTCCTTTGATGAGCAAGGTGATATAGCTCTAAAAAATGAAATAAACCTTACATATAGGTTTGAAATCTTGGATTGTGATCTTGTTTTACCAGTAGAAAGTAGTGAACATCAATTTCTGAAGGTTGAATTGCCACAACTTTATTGTTGTTTCATTGAGAGTTCTGGTTTTGATGATGTATTGAAGAACATCCCAAAGGAATGTTTGGTTCCTATTCACAAGCTCTCCCAAAGAAATAATTGTCTAAATATATTTGGTCGAGATTTGAATGTATCATTCCTTTTCTGCACAAATAATATCCTTGGCTTAGCAACAAATGAGTGGAATACAGAATTTGTAACAAATTCTTTAATTGTGCCCATAAGTGCTGATGTTTGGGTCAGAATTCCCTGTGGAAGTGAATCTAATAACAAAAGCTCTTCGTCCATATGTTTAATGACATGCATCAGCAGTTGTCATATCATTGCTGAAGGTTGGACTTCTACATATTTTGATAGTGTTTTTCTTGCGCGTTTACTTTTATATTGTTGGATTTTGTAATTGTTCTCATGAAACTTCCGTTCATTAACAGATAGCTACTTTTTTGATGGATGTATGGCTATATGGAATGTTATTGAGGGATTTTCTTCAGTTGGTGAACAATCCAAATGTTTCAAAACTGATGTTCTGCAGTTTCTTCATTCCAAGAGAAGCTTAAAGGAAACTGGAACAACTTCGTCAACTCTGGTACCATCAACTATTATACTGACAGAAGTGAAATGTTGCACTCAATCATTGATGATAAGCTTCTGTCATAGACACGAAGGTTTTGTGGAACCAATAAGCAAGGGTGATTTTAAGTTTACTTGTTCTGCGTCCTTAGTTGATGATTCTTTGGTATCGTTGGATTTGAGGTTCTCTAGATTGGTGATTTACTCTTCACACGGTTCTGTCTTGGCAAAATGTGCCTCAACTTCCTCTTCCATGTTTGTACTTTGCATCTGTTTTTCTATGTCTATTGACAATATGAATGAGCTCAGTCTTTGTCTTTCCTCTCTTGATATATGGCTTCATTTGTCTGAGTGGACTGAGATAGTTAATTTTCTCAACCATCTCTATTTACCTCGGGAGACAACTCCTATGGATGCAGTATCTGAGCATTTGTCTGTAGATACTGGTACTTGTATAAAAGAAGCAGAAGTAAAAGATGAATCTAGTTTCCTTGGTTCCGGAAGTACCACAATACCTTTTACTACTCAGGAGACTGAGAATGCTGTCTTATTGATTATTAGGTCGGAAAACGTTTGTATCACATTTCATATCCCCATCTGGACTAGTGAAGAACCAAATGTGGAACTTCATCGTGCTGAAAGTCGAAACCTGACAACTCTAAATGTATCCTCTGATTTTGTTGAAGAAAAGGATGCAGAGTTTCTCACCGTTTCTGTCAGCGTGAATGGTTTTGAGTTAGTTATAAGAAGCAGGGATATCCAACTCAAGTCTAATATGGAAAGACTGAGCACCGTAATAATATTTGTTGTGAATGGAAGTCATACATCTTTGCCACTTCTTGATATAATCCAGGTTCATGTGGATGCTGTCCTCTGTAAAAGTCATACAGGCAACACAATAGTCAAAGTCGAGCTTATATGCGACCATTCAGATCTATGGCTTTCGCATCCTGCATTTTATTTATGGGGTGCTTTAAAATTCGACGTTCCCAAATCGGAATCTTCTCAATATTCAACCGGAAACATTTCTTTCAAATTCCAAATTAGGAAGGTTTCTGTTCTACTAACAGATGGAAAGGTACGTTAACATTGGTAATAATTGATGTTCATCCTATATGACTTTATCTTTCTTGTTCTGTCTCATTTTCTCATTCGTTAGAATTTGCTTCTATTTTTTTCTTCTGGTTTATTATTTTCAAATATATTTTTCTTATACTTGATCAAGTATACCTTTAGAACCGGGTCCTGACACTGTTCCGATTGGGTCCGAGGAATCCTAAGATGTTTAATATCATTGGTTTAAGACAGGTTTAGTTTGTATTAAGTTAGAACGGTTAGTATTGAAGTTATGGGTTTTAGATAAAATAGGAAGAAATATGATTATAGTGTAATAATTTTGATACTTTCTTGAGAGATTCTCTCTTGTATATAAGTTGGCACAACCTCATTGTGAAATACAAGTAACTATTCTATGTTATTTAACTTGGTATACCAATCGGGTTAGAAATCCTAATTTTATCTCTGGGTTTTGCCGCCGTCAAGGATAACCCTAATTTACTTTTCAGTTTGGTTATTGGGTGTCCAAGAGATACTATTGTCAGGCCCTAAAACAGTCACCGGACTTCCGACGCTGCTGCCGGAGAATTATTTACTGCCATCAATACTAACGTGTGCCCTACTATAAAAGCCAGAGGCCGTGGATCTATTGCCAAAAATTATGCCACCAAAATCACCGACACGCGCTGCACATACCATCACTACAAAATTGATCTGGCATGCAGAGCCCACAGGCCATCCTATGGTTGTCGGTTTTTACCGCGATTTGTTTCATGCAACTTGGTTTTCCCTCCTGATGATTCGGTCGGGACAAATTTGTGTGTGGGTCCCATGTTTGACATCTGTTTTGGAGATTTCTTTGTCGTTATAGGAGAATATCAATGCTAACAAATAGAGAATATTCAACACAAAATATTAAGCACTATCCCCTGTTTATAGGGGGGATACAAGACCCCAAATCCTAAATAAATTATAAAACAAATCATAATAATAGTCGAGTGTTGGAAGTTCCATCTATATTTGAAGTTCACCCCTAGCTACATAAGTACGGCATTTGGGTTGCCTTTATTGCAGCCTCCAACGTCTTTATTGTGTTGGGTGTAAAAAGATGGATTTTGTCCTGCATTGCCGAGAGATATGTCTTGTGTAGTGTTTCTTAAGCTTGGGCAACCCTCACCTTAAAAGTCGGTTTTGTAATTTGAGTTAGGTCCGCTTCAATTTTTAAGATTAAGTAATATGTAAGTTAATCTTAGGGGATAATCTTAGACTGTAAGATTAGATACTGATCATAGAAGATAAATGTATACTCTAACATAATCTAAAGATATTAAAAGACGTATTTTCTTATATCCTTATTACACTCCTCCTAAAGCTAAAGCTTACTATGCTTTACAATTGTTACAAATATACCATTAGAAAGAGAAAATATAACATGATATTATCATGAATAACAATTAGCTAAGCCATTAGAGAAATCACAGTTGATTCTCATGAATAACGATTAGCTAAGCCAAATAGGCTCACATTCTAACACTAGTGGAAGCCTAAACCAGATGGTACAAATTCAAAACTAACAACAAGTGTTGTTAGTTAGACTGAAGAGATGGTGTCAATGGCCCCACAATGGTGAACCAAATCTATACGAGAGATTGAGTTCTTGAAATAATTGTATGTAGCCAAAACAACATTAGCCCAAAAGGATTATGGAAGGGAGCAAACCGAGGTGTCAAAAGCCAAGCAACAGTTGAAGCACTATAAACAGAGAACTCTTAAACTGAAACTCAAATATTAAATTGATGACTCGGAGGCCGGTAGACAGTACTGAACGAGTTGAACCACACATGCTGCACCACAAATAGAGCTTCAGCTGATGTTATTGCTAGCACTGAACATGCTAAAAATGCTTTTTGCCGGTGGCAAGCTGGAAGACTCTGATGTTCAAGGCTTTGCCCGACCTTTTGGAGTCACCTTCTACAGAGGTTGCCGGTCTAAAACGCGTCGGTCATTTATGCTAAACAGTGGAGAACGGCTGAGGAATTGGCAATGAACTCGCTGGACAATTTTCAATCAGCGGAAGATGACATACGACACTGCTAAAGAACTGGGTCAACACGAGATTGCACTTGAATCCCTAAAATAAGGAAAAACTTTGAAACAAAGAAAAAGATACAGGGTCCAACAAAAGGATTCTAAACACAAGTACACAACTTTTAGCAAAACTTTCAGAAACTCAGCAGTAGAGTCGTTGAGACGAAATGATGGTACCGCTCTGGTGGTACCATTTTGAAGTAATGGACTTAAAATAAAATTAGAATGATATGATTAAAGTGTAATAATGTATAATTTGTAGTAACACGATATAAAAAGAGTAAACACTGACCTTTTTTTATTGGGATGCAAAACATCTAATCCTAAACAAGTAGGGAAAATAGTAAACAAATCATAATAATAGCTAATTAATATGGAAACTAGTCTTAGAATGAGTTCATTGGAGGATTACGTAATGGCCAATAGATTGCAATGCCATAGATGTGAATGGGTTCTTAGGCTGTGGTCTGAATGAAATTTATCAAAGAATATAGGATTCTATTTTAGCCCTTGTCGGAATGTTGATAAAGAATGTAAGTTTTTTAATTCCTCACATATTGTTTTTTCTTGTCTCACATTGTAAGCCTTGTTTCATGTCTTGTAGTGGAGCTATAATGGGCCTCAGCTGGAAGTTGTTGTGAGAAGCATCCTCTTCCATGCATCTGCAAGTGGAAAGCATCTGGAATGTTCTTTCACAGGCGATCTTCAAGTGAACTACAAAAACATTGAAAAGGTGTATTGAGATTACATTATTTTTTTCTCCCTGCAATACGAACCGTTATTCTTGTTATTAAGATGTGGTTGGGCCTAATTCAACCCTACAAAACCGGCTTGTAGGGTGAGGATTGCCCCCACTTATAAACACATGTTCAGACCATATATTGTCCGATGTGGGACTCTTAACACACCCCCTCACGCCCAGGACTAGACAACTGGAGCGTGGAAATAAATGGTGGATGGCCCACTGGATCTTAAACGAGGCTCTGATACCATATTAAGATGTGGTTGGGCCTAATTCAACCCTACAAAACCGGCTTGTAGGGTGAGGATTGCCCCCACTTATAAACACATGTTCAGACCATATATTGTCCGATGTGGGACTCTTAACAGTTGTTTTATTCATTTTTTGCATTAACAGTTAACTGTTGCTTATGTGTTTGTATAATGATAAATTGAAGGTGTCATGGGAGCCATTTGTTGAGCCTTGGCAGTTTCTTTTCACTTTGACCAGGGATCAAGAAATCAGTGTTCTTCCAAACAGGTCCCTTTCAACTGATATCATTCTCGAATCAACAACTCAGCTGAACATTAATATTACAGAGTCATTGGTAGAGGTATGTAATTTTTTGTTTTCAGATCATAATTTCTTTTTCATTTTGTCTTGTTTATAGAAACATATTTCTTGATATGACACTTCTAAATACTCTGTTACCAGTATATGGATAGCCGTGGAAGTGACTAGGTCTGGTTGTTGTGTTTTGTGGTATATCATTTTGATGTGCATTACAAATTAATGGATAACTTCTTTTATAATTGTATACTAAGAAAAACCCAAGTCCACATTGAAAAGAAACAAGGTTTGAAAAGAGTTTATAACGACTAGCATACCTCACTTTAAAAGTCGGTTTTGTAGAGATGAGTTAGATCCAACATAAATTTTAAGGTGATACCTGAAGCTATCGATTCGAAATTTCGAATCATCCCCCATATTATTTACACACCAGGCTCAATAGTATTGTGTGTGAGGATGTATATTGGAAAAAAAATCCTGCTCTCCCATATTGAAAAGGGAACAGTCTGAAACAAGTTTATCAAGAGTCTCACACGCTCACCTTAAAATCCAGTTTTTGTAAGAATGGGTTAGTTTCAATATAAAAACTTAATGTTGGAGTGGGGTGGGTTCAAACTCCCATTCATATACCTCCCAACCCCTTATACAACACAGCCAAACCACCTCTCGTACCTTCTATCTAGTTGACACATTCTAAGTATCGTCTTTTCCACTCATAGATTTGAAGGTTTTCTCTCGATCTTGTGCCCTAAAACAGATATATACCAGTATTTTCAGCCTTAACCTTGGTTTCTTTTGTATACACATTGAGCCTCTCCTTATGAAAAGTTACCCACTATTTATACTGTACTTATTTGCCTTGTTTCTTTCAGTGTGTTTCACGCACTGCAGAGATGTTGGATGATGCCTTGGGTCTGATGGGATTGAAAGATCATGAAGGAAACAAATTCTTACATCCACCGTGTGCTGAATACATTTGTGCAAGAAAATGTGCTGCTCCTTATGTTATACAAAATTTAACCTCTGTACCACTTCTATATCATGTATATAATGGGCATAGCAATCCTAATGATATCTATGACCCAGATTTGAATCATGCAAAATATGTGCAACCAGGTTCTGCAAGTACAATATACATGGATGAAAATGCTGAACAACAGCATTACAGACCTTATCATTCTTCTGATAGTCTAAATGAGCAAAGGTCAAGTGGCTTAGCTCATCGTTATATTATGGTACAGCTTGAAGGAACATCTATGCCGTCTGATCCAATTTCAATGGATTTAGTTGGATTAACGTGCTTTAATGCTAATTTCTCCAAGTCATATAATGAGAATGGTGATGATGGTAGAACGAATACTGCCCCGACTTTTGTTGTTCCTGTTGTTTTAGATGTTTCTGCATTACGCTATAGCAAGTTGATTCGAATATACTCAACTGTAAGTATAAAATGACTTTTATCCTTTATGATGATGTTTCCATTTACCCCATGCATTGTTTTCATATAAACCAACTCTGACATATAGGTTGTTCTTCTGAATGCAACTTCTGCACCACTTGAGCTGCGGTTTGATATTCCATTTGGTGTGTCACCAACGGTACATGGTTCCTTCTAATACTTTACAGTTCGAGTCTATATAGCATTGTTATTTTTGTGATAATACTTGTATGATGTATACTTTTATTACTTCAGATATTTGATCCTATACACCCTGGGCAACAGTTTCCACTTCCACTACATTTGGCTGAAGCTGGTTGTGTAAGGTGGCGGCCAATGGGGAACTCTTATCTGTGGAGTGAAGCTCATAAACTCTCAAATCTTGTCTCAGTAAATGGCAAAGTAGGAAATTTTAAATCTTTCATCTGCTATCCATCTCATCCAAGTAGTCATCCATTTCGGTGCTGTTTATCAGTTAAGAGTATCAGCTTGACTTCATCTGGCTGGCTGAAAAATAATTTCTCTGTTAATGACGCAAAGAAGCACTATATCCATCACTTGATCCTTAGTGCTCCATTAGTAATTAACAACTTTCTTCCTAAGGAAATTTTATTGATTAGTGAGAGTGGTGGGCTAAATCATACTGTGAGAGTTTCAGAGGTTTGTGATGGTTGTTTCCAAATTCCATATGGATGATTATATACTTCAGATTAGGTAGTTTATGTTCCTGTTCTCTCTGGCGGTGTAATGGTTTAAAGGCTACACGTTTTCTTTTGCAGGTGGAAACTTCTATTTATCATATTGATCCTTCTCATGATCTAGGACTAGAGATCTGCATTGATGGATTTAAATGTCGTGATTTTAAGTTTCCTCGTTTAGAAACTTTCTGCACAATGGCCAAGCTCAGTGCAACCAAGTTTTCAATATCTGAAACGCTGATATTCGAACCAAATAATTCAAATGGCAAGTGATTTCATTTTTGGGTTGTTTGTCTTCTTATGAGTGCATCCTTTATAAGTATTTTCTTGCTCTCACTTGTAGGACATATTTCTATTACGGTGGAGAAGGTGATGGATGCATATTCAGGTAGCAGAGAAATTATTATTTTTGTTCCCTTTATCTTGTATAATTGCATGGGTTTTCCGTTGTGTGTGAAGGAGGCCTCTAGTGAAACCGATGAAAGGGGATTCGCCATTCCTTCATATTACGATGTTGGTGTAAATGAAACAATTTCTTCTAAAAAGGATGGACTTTCTCTACTTTCCTCCTGCCATGACTTACATGCTGACGTTTCTATGGAGCCAAGTAGTCACTTGAATAATCATACCATTTCATGTAGAAAGGATGGTATTCCAGATTCTAGTAGTTTTTTAAGTAACTCTGCATTATTTGGTAATTACCGTGGCAATTTGGGAAGGCAACAGAGAAAAAGTAATTCCACCGTTCAAAGTAGTTCTTTTGGAATATTGAAGCGAACACTGAGCTCGAGGGTCCAGTCAACTTGGAAGTATTCAGGTTCTTGTAATAATGTGCATGAAAAGGTTGTGCCATGCATGTATTCTCCAAGCCCTAGCTCCCCGGTAAATGATGTTCTTGTTAAAGTAAGTGGGTGTTTTCCAAAAGATGTATGGGAGGAGATACCATATTCTTTATGGTCAAACTCATTTTCTTTGCTACAGCCAAGTGGCTCAAGTACTATATGTGTCCCTCAACTGGCTTCAAATTCTGCATTTATTCTGGCCGTGACTTCTATCTCAGTTGCTGAACCATTTGTTGGGAGGACAAATGCAATTTCTTTCCAGCCTAGGTAATATTGGCGTTCATAGATTATGCTATTATTGATGTATGTTTATGAGCCTCTCTCTAAAAGGTTAAAATTTTGGGATGTTTCCTTGACATTAGATGACTTGAAAAAAATTGAAGAAAAATCTGAATTATTTCTCTATTTCAGATTGGAGAATGATACAGATATATGAGCTTTTGCTACATCTATCTAATTATAGTTCTTAGATTTTGGGTTGGACCTAATTCAAATCTTACTAAACCGGCTTGTAAAGACTGCCTTGACTTATAAACTTATGTTGAAGCCTTATCTCATCCAGTGTGGGGTTTTTAATACACATCCCGACGCCTAGGACTAGACATTTGTAGCGTGATCCGATAGCGATATCCTCTAAGTAGAGAGTCAAACGGATCTTGGATAAGCTCTGATATCATATTAGGTTTTCATATTGGGCCTATCTCATAGTTACAAAACCGGCTTGTGGTCCGGAGTGCCATTCTTTATATATTCTACTTAGGCTTTATCTTTATTCTGTGGGTCTTGAGTTTTTTTCAGCACACCCTCTCACATCCTACACTATTGGTTTTGCTGTGTGGATCATAAGTGATGGTTGGGCCAAATCGATAGACTCTGATACCATCTTATAATTTGGGTTGGGCCTAACTCAACCCTCGCAAAACCGATTAATATGGTTAATATCGTCCCCACTTATAAAGATTCCTCCTGTCTAGATCTTTATTCTTTCTTCTTTTTTGTCAAGTTTCTTCCCTTCTTTTCTAACTCACTTCCTTTCTTCTGTGCTTTTTGGCCTATTGTCCTCCTCCTTTCCCCATCGCCTTCCTACCTGCGGAAACTAGAAGGGAAAGGAAAATAGAATGATTTTCTTTTTGACTTGTCCCCGGTCTACCCATAGCCTGCCCGGTTAGGGGATAAGATTAGTTCACTAGGTTCTCCCTTCTTTTCCCCTGACTTCATGTTTTTCTATCTTATTTGTTGTCGAGACTTTTATTTCATCCAATGTATGACTCTTAATAATGTGATTACATTCACAAACCAACTTCAAAGGAAACAACAAATCTGTTAATTGCACAATGAATGGATATACATTATTCCCAACTTGCAAATAAGATCGTTATGATGCGGTTTTTATTGTAATTTGCAATCACACTGCAATTGTAGTCTAATACGGATGCGGGCACTACCACAACCACAATATTGCGGCCGCATCATGTGATGCGGTCCACAATTTAAAACCGTGGTCTAACTTTTCCTTGATGAATCATAGGTAGATCTAGTTTAGTTCTACGGATGCTATGGTATTAATGCAGAATTAGGGCCTCACAAATAAGAGCTCTGATACCAACTTCAAACGAAAACATAAAAAGTGAAATTCTGGTATTTAGATCACAGATGTCCTAAAAGATGTCGAGACAAAATTTTTTTGAACAAGCAAGCAATGACAAGATAAACGATAATTGAAGTGCAGAAAAGTAAAGAACACATAAGATTGTTAAGCCAGTTCGATGTAAACTAACACCTACTCTGAGGGCTACCAAGTCAGGGATCAAGTTAACTACTAATAGTATCAATTCGAAATTAAACTCTCTGTTTACAACTTCTCACTTAATCACTGTCCTTGCTTAACTTCTACCTAAGACTCACCTAGGTATGAGACCCTTCTCAAATCCTTTCCAATCACAAATCAGTGACTGAACAATTCTAAACACTTAGAAAATCACAGAAGTCACACTTCAAAGACACACAATCATTCACTGTTTACAAATTTTAGAATGACTGACAGAACTTACAACAACAACAAAGTCCTACTCTTTTATCAAAATGATAATCGTGAGGCTCACAATAAACACACAAATCCTAATCAAAATACAGTGTAAGTTCGTAAAAAACAATTAGGGTTGAAGCCTTCTATTTATAATATTCATTGAACTGGATTTGGAGTTCACAAATTCCAGTTGGATAAAAACACTGCAGAATTATCTCCTCAAAGTTAGGACATCAATTATTAGTTTCCTAAACTATCTCCATAATTAAAAACTAACAACTCTCTTTGAAATAAACTTGGATCTTCTTCAATCTTCAAATTGAGTGCCACATAGGATAGCACAATATCCACAGAATATTCTGCACTGTAACATATTTAAATATCCAATAATCCAGTTGTATACGATCATGATGTCGAAAGAGCATGCATAGGACATGTTGCTTCAGTACATAAAACATCTTTATTTAACATGTCAAAGCTAAGTTAGTTTTTATCAAACATAATGCCAATCACAACAAAACAAAGAAATAACAATCTCCCCATTGGCTTATTTTGGTTAAAACAACTTAGCACATCTTCTACACATAAACAACTACAACATTTGAAAAAACTTAAGCATCCAATCAATCAGAGGCACAACAACGGAAGACAAAACAACAAATATCAGAGCCGTAGCTGGTGGAAACTTCTTCAACACAACGAACCAGAGAATATCAAGTTCTTAATATGTCAGAACATCATGTCTGATAGATCTTCACAGTAGTTCAGTCCAGAACACAGAACTTGCTAAGCCTGTTGAACCACATCAGAAAATAACACTCTCATTTCGGCACAGAGCACCTAGAAGCAGATAGACTACATCTTCAAAGACAACAACTTACTCTCCCTTAGTATCAGAACCACCTCATACACAACACTACTAGATGTACATGATGTAGAAGATAGTCTGCATCTTCAGAACTATCCAAGTTGCTTCTTAAACAAGGAACCAATACTTGTCACAAAGCCTCAGGAGAAATTTCCTATAACTTTAAGAACCAAAAAGAATTCTAACCTGAATGACCCAAGTTAGAAGATCATGTTACAGAGACAGAACAACACACCAGACCAGACAAGATGTTAGAACTTCTTGAACAACATCCCATAACACAAGACTCATCAGATGAAAGAACATAACACCCTTACTCCAGAAGGTCATACTCCCCCTTAATTATTCCAGGTAAGAGGCAATAAAATTTAGCAGCAAAAGCACAATACCAATACGACATAGTACTACTACTACTCTCTTCCTTTTTAGCCAAAATTTGACAAAAACGAGTTTGAGCAAAAAGACACACGTAGCTAAGCAGAGCTGAGGAGAAACCAAAAGAAAACGACAATACACCAAACCCCTATTTGTAACACCAAACCAATCAATGTAGGCAGTTTTCAAGATCAGATCATTCTTGTTATAAATGCACCACTCAATACAGGAGAGAGATACACATTTGTTCAAGTCTTGACCGTTTGTAGGCATTTTTCACAGGTCCCTAGAGGAGGAAACGATATAGTCAAGCTATCCATAGCAGCCTGCCTTTCACAACCCTTATCACTCTAACCACTTCATTGGAGACTAAGCACATCTAAAATACAATGATTTGAACGTTGCATTTAACAACACCTTGACATCCTTCAAACTTAATGAAATAACCACTCAAAATAGTTATTCAAATCCGTTGATAGAGTCAGACTTGACCAAGAGCGGAACTCTAAGCACTTCATCAAGAAAACAACCACCAGGGAATAACTGTTTGAAACCAGATATAAGTGCTAATATGATGTCTCAACAACTATGGATGATCAAGGCACTTCATAACGACCTGTTTCTTCACATGTTTCTTCATATGAGTGAACTACCATTCACCCTTGTACATAGACGAGTATTTTCTTCCTCTCAAGAGAGAAATCTCAAGACAGTATCCAACACAAATTTTTCAAGATCATACATCAGAAAGATTTCGTATCATCTTGGTAGGACATCATTCACCCTCATACCACCATTAACAATAGTATTAGAGGCATACTATAACCAAGGGGAACAAGTCAATCTTGATCATCTTTTAGGTGGTCTTCCACCTCTTGTCCCTATCAAACAACCTTCTGCACTCCTTGAATCTGTTAGTAGTCACAGGAGTGTCACCACTGATCCCTCCTATCATCAATCTCTTCTTCAAGTCAGTCCTTTACAAGGAGTCTTTGTCCCACCTGTTGACATTTGTAGTCACAACAACATGGAGGAAGGATAGAGAATTTGGAACAATCCTTTCCAACAGTAATTGCTATAATTCCTTACCATCTGATTTTTTTTTGACAGTGTTCATCCAGACAGGTTTTGAAATTTTATCAGCAATTAAACCAACATATTTTTCTCTCCCAAGTTTGTTAAGCTGCTTGTCTTCTACTCGTGCCAAATGAAGAATTTCTGACCTCTTGGAAGTAACTTGATGTTGCACCTTTGGATGTGACACCTCATCACAAACTTTGCCTTCCTTTGATTGAACTTTCTTCGTACCTTTCAGGAGAAGCTGGTCAACTTTTTTCCTTTAGTAGCTTTGTATAAACTTCTTTAGGCATCACACATGTGGAGGAGCAATTTGTTTCTTGAGGACACCACAAGTAACAATTGTCTTTAGATCTGATTTCCTTCATGATAACTTTATTTTTCTCATCAGTTACCAGACATTCAGATGCAGTAAAGTGGACTTTGAAGCTTTGGTCACACAGTTGATTGATGCTTATCAAATTAGCAGTTAGTCCTTTAACAAACAACACCTTATTGAGATCTGGTAAACTATTACAGCTCATCTTTCCAGCACCTTTTATTTCACCTTTTGATCCATCTCCAAAAGTGGCATAGCTAGTGGAAAGAGGTTTAATATCCACTAGAAATTTCTTGACACCAGTCATGTCTCTGGAACAACCACTATCAAAATACCAATCTTCTCTTGTAGAAGCTCTGAGAGAGGTGTGAGCCATGAGCCCATGAGTGTCATTCCTGAAAAATCTCTTAGACTCGGTTTTAGCATTGCCTGGTCTTCTCCTATGCTGTACAACAGGTTTGAGATAGCCATGCAATATGTAGCAAGAGAATTTTAGATGACCCAACTTTCCACAATAATGGCATCTTCGTTGTTGATTTCCCTCTCCATTATACGTCTTTTGATATCTCTGCTGATGTTGAGACATATGATTCAACATCTTCTGCTCTTGCTTCCTTTTTGGAGATACACACTTCACTTCAGGTCTTTTTCCTTGATTGTCACAACTAAGATCCTTGATGTTTACAACATTCTTTCCAATTAGAATAGTGGTTCCACCCAGAACAGTAGAGTTATTATTTCCTGAGTGATTCTTCTGTTGTCCATGCTGATGTTGGAACTTTTATTTTGACATCTTTTGTTCCAGTTCTTTCTTTGGACGAACAAACTTTACTTCACCCTTTTTGCCTTTATTCTTCAGGGACTGATTAACATAGCCAATCCCTTGAACATCTCCCAGCATTCTTTCCAGACTTAATAATATTATCAAGCATATCAGAATTGTTGTTGAGCATTCTTACAAACTTGGTCATATTATCAAGTTGTCACTTAAGCAAAAAAGCTTCATCTTTTAATTCAGCTATGACAATTAGGTGCTCTATTTTTTTAGCTTCCAGTTCAGAGATAATGGACAATTGTTCTTCTTTTTCTGCCTCTACTAGAGCAATAATGTTTTCTTGCCTTTTTATCAATTGAGTCCCCTCTTAGCTTCCGAGGCATGCCTCCTGATAAAAGGTGACAAGATCTTCAGTTGTCAGGTCTTCAAAAATTGTTTCATTATCCGAATCATACATTCCAGAGCAATCACTTACTTAGCAATCTTCTCTGCACTATCACTGTCAGAGCCTTCACATTCAAAACACTGAACTCTTTTTCCTCCAGAATCCTGATTTTTGGTGATGTCGAGTGACTCTTGTCTTTGACATTTGATCTTGACTTCCAGTCAATTTTCTTCAACACTTTGTTGAATTGTTTTCCAAGTAACACAATGACATTTGACACCCCTTCTTCAGTATCTAGGTCACACTCATCTTTTGGTTCATCAGTGTTGGAGACAAAGGCTATGTTCTTCTTCTTTTCAGACTTTTCACTGATCCCTAACTCTAAGGTCGGTAAGGATCCCACGAGCTCATCAACTTTCATGTTGTTTATGTCTTAAGCTTCTTCAATGACAGTAACCTTCATGTCAAACCTCTTTAGAAGAGATCTGAGAATCTTTCTCACCAGCTTTGTTTCAGACATCTTCTCCCACAGGGGCACTTGAGGTATTGGCTATCTCAATGATATTCATGTGAAAATCATAAATACTTTCATCGTCTTTCATCCTTAAGTTCTCAAATTGAGAGGTGAGCAGTTGAAGTCTTGACATCTTCACCTTGGAGGTTCCTTCGTGAACAATCTTCAAGGTCTCTCAGGCTTCTTTGGCAATTACTGATCAACCTGAAGATATTCTTGTCCACACTATTGAATAGGACATTCAAAGGTTTGGAGTTTCCTTGAGATGATTCATCATCCTTATCATTCAAATCTTCTTCAGCTTTGTTCACGTCCATCTCCTTTCCATCCTCACCTACAACCTTTGGTGGAACTCAACCCTTGACAACAACTTTCCACGCCTTGCTGTCTATGGATTTGATGAAAGTCATCATACGAACTTTTCAATAATCATAATTGGTTCCATCAAGGATGGGTGGTCTGTTTCCAAATCCTCCTTCCTTGTCCACCGCACCAGAAAGTATCTTCCCTGAACCTCACCCAGAGACAGAGCAATATGTTTGCTCTGATACCAATTGAAATTCTGATATTCAGATCATAGATGTCCTAAAAGATGTCGTGACACCTTTTTCTGAACAAACAAGCAATGACAAGATAAATGATAATCGAAGTGCAGAAAAGTAAAGAACACGTAGGATTGTTAACCCAGTTCAGTGTAAACCAACACCTACTCTGGGGGCTACCAAGCCACAGATCAAGTTAATCTAGTATCAATTCGAAGCTAAACTCTGCCGTTTACAACTTCTCACTTAATCACTATCCTTGCTTAACTTCTACCTAAGACTCACTTAGGTATGAGACCCTTCTCAAATCCCTTCCAATCACAAACCAGTGACCGGAGAATTCTAAACACTTAGAAAATCACAGAAGTCACACTTCAAAAACACATAATCATTAATTGCTTACAAGCTTTGAAATTGGCAGACCGAACTTACAACAAAAATAAAGTCCTACTCTTTTTTCAACATGATAATCGAGAGGCTCACAATAAGCACACAAACCCTAATCAAAATACAGTGTAAGTTCGTAAAAAACAACTAGGGTTGAAGCCTTCTATTTATAATCTTCATTGAACTGGATTTGGGCTTCACAAATCCCAGCTGGATAAAAACAGGCGCTGCAGAATTATCTCCTCAAAGATAGGACATCAATCATTAGTTTCCTAAATTATCTCCATAATTAGAAACTAACAACTCTCCTTGAAATCAGCTCGAATCTTCTTCAATCTTCAAACTGAGCGCCACATAGGATAGTACAATATCCACATAATATTCTGCACTTGTAATAGATTAGAATATCCAATAACCCAGCTGTATATAATCACGATGTCGAAAGAGTAGGCATAGGACATCACATAGGACATGTTGCTTCAGTACATAGAACATCTTTATTCAACATGTCAAAGTTAAGTTAGTTTTACCAAACGTAATGCCAATCAAAAAAAAAAAAATAACAAAAAGAAAAATTGGAAAGTGTTTCCCATGTTTCAAATTACAAACATTGATACAAATTATTGGCTCTAACGAATTATCCTAAGGAGTTAAATGGAAAAAATATGATAACAATAAATATGATAACAATAACTAAGCACAATCAAATCCTATTTACAATAATTATGATAACAAATCAGTTACAAAAGTAAAATGATATGGATGAAATTTTTTTCTGTACTTCCCCAGTTTGATCTTTTAGGATCCTTGATTCTTTGAGATGAAAATAAAGCCTGTTTAATGACCTTGCCTATAGTTTGATCTTTGCTTGCCTCCCTATTCTCTATTTAATATTTAACTCAACCTTCGTTAATAGTATGAGCCCACTTTACCAAAATGAGTTAATATAAGGATAAGGATATTTGGTTCTTGTTAAAAACAATTATTTAGCCTCGTCCTACTTTCTTTTTGGATAACGGGTTTGTCGAGAGAAACACACAGGTGTTTGTACTTTTTTCATTTACACTTTTGTCAATTTCTTCAAGTTCCTAAATGACGGGTAAATATGCTGCAGATATGTGATCAGCAATGCCTGCAGCAAGGAAATTATTTATAAACAGAAGGGCACTGATGTAACATTTTATCTAGGAATAGGAGAACATGCTCATCTTCACTGGACTGATACGAGCAGGTATGGTATTTCATTATCTCGGACAAATACAGTTGCTGTTGCTACCACTAATAAAAAAGATTGTATTCTGGCATTGTTTTCTTATTTTTTCCACCTGTTTTTTCTTTTTTTTATCTTGTTCCTCCCTTTATTAAAACTAAACTATTTTAAAATATTGATGCAGGGAGCTGCTTGTTTCAATTTGTTATAATGAAACGGGATGGCAGTGGTCTGGCAGCTTTTTACCAGATCATCTGGGTGATACACAACTGAAAATGAGAAACTTTGTTTTTGGCACTTCAAGCATGATACGAGTTGAAGTTCAAAATGCTGACATATCAATGGGAGATGAAAAGATAATTGGAAACGTCAAGGGAAACTCAGGGACCAACTTGATTCTCTTGTCTGATGATGATACAGGATATATGCCATACAGAATCGACAATTTCTCGAAAGAGGTCTGTCTGTAGTTTCTCAGTTGTATTACTGCATTAATTTTATTTTAAAGGCTTCTGCTCCGTGAAGGGTTGCTGATTTTATTTGGATGGTTTTATTTATTTATGTGTTAATCTTAAGCATGTTGTTTTTCAACTTTATCTATATTTTTAAAGAAACAAATAATATGTATTTCTTTGATATTGTACTAAGTAATACATGAAAGGTATTTATAGAATATAAGGGACAAAATCACTTTAAATGCTAATTCTAAATATGGTAGAAGACAACTAATTACTAATTATTAATAGCTAATTACTAATTATTATTTCCAATTAATATTATCATGAGTTGTATAACACATAATCTGTTGATTCTGTACTTGTCTCTCTAATAACTTCCAACACTCCCCTTCAAGCTGGGGAATGAATATCTATCATCCCCAGCTTGCAAGTAAGATCTCGAAACCGTTTCAAGGGAAGTCATTTGGTGAGCACATCAGCTAACTGAAGTCCTGATGAGACGTACTGTGTAGAAATAAGACTACTATCCAATTTCTCTTTGATGAAGTGTCGATCTATCTCTATATGCTTTGTTCTGTCTTGCTGAACCGAATTGTGAGCAATACTAATGGCAGACTTATTATCGCAGAAAAGTCTCGTAGGAGCTTCATATTTTATTTTCAAGTCATCTAGAATGATCTTCATCCACAACAGTTCACAAACTCCTTGAGCTATGGCTCTAAACTCTGCCTCTGCACTTGATCTGGCAACTACATTTTGTTTCTTGCTCCTCCATGTCACTAAATTTCCACCTAAGAACATACAATATCCAGTGGTGAATCTTCTGTCAACAATCGACCCTGCATAATCCGCATCAGTATAAACCTCCATAGACAACTGCTCACTTTTCTTGAACAGTAGTCCTCTTCCTGGGCTCATCTTTAGATACTGCAAGATTCTATCAACGGCCTGTAAATGTCTCTCCTGTGGGTCATGCATGAATTAAATGACAACACTAACCGGATAAACTATGTCAGGTCTGGTGTGAGATAGATAAATGAGTTTTCCCACAAGTCTCTGATATTGAGCTTTATCAATCCTTGGGCTTTCCTCATCACTCCCAATCTTGTGATTTTGCTCTATAGGCACTCTGGAGGGTTTACAACCTAACTTGTCAGTCTCTTTGAGAAGGTCAAGGACATATTTTCTCTGAGAAATGAAAATGTCTTGTTTTGAGTATGCTACCTCCATACCTAAGAGATATTTCAACTTTTCTAGATCCTTCGTTTCAAACTGAGCTGCCAACTCCTTCCTCAAGTTCTTCTTCTCAAATTCATCATTACCTATTATGATCATATCGTCTAAGTAGACTAACAAAAGAGTGAGTTTACCATTTTGAGCATGCTGTATAAAGAGAGTATGATCACCTTGGTTTTGTTTATAACCGGAGGACACCATAACATGAGTGAGCCTCCCAAACCAAGTCCGGGGTGATTGCTTGAGCCCATATATGGCCTTCTTTAATCTGCAAACCTTATTACTTCCTGAAGTAGGGTCATATCTGGGTGGGATCTCCATATACACCTCTTCCTCCAAATCTCCATGCAAAAAAGCATTTTTCACATCAAACTGTTGCAACTCCCAATCAAAGTGAGCTGTCAAAGAAAGAATGATTCTTACTTTGTTCATTTTTGCTACTGGAGCAAATGTCTCTTCATTTTTGCTACTGGAGCAAATGTCTCTTCATAATCAATTGCATAGGTCTGAGTGTATCCCTTTGCAACTAGCCCTGCCTTATATCTGTCGAAGATACCGTCGGATCGGTATTTTACCGTATATATCCACCTGTAACCTACTGACCTCTTGTCATTTGGCTTCTCAATAATCTCTCAAGTCCCATTTTTCTCTAGTGCATGCATCTCTTCATTCATGGCTTGAATCTAATTCTTATCCTTTAATGCTTCTTGTACTGATGCAGGGACTCTAATAGAGTCAATAGCTGAAATAAAATTCTGATATTGCATAGAAAGCTTTTCAGTAGACACAAACTGGAATATGGGGTATTTGGTACAAGACCTTTTTTCTTTTCTCAAAGCAATTGGTGGGTCATCAAGGTTTGGCTCACAAGAATTACTAGGCTCAGGGTCAGAAACACTTACCTCAGGTTCAGACGATTGGACTTGTTGAGGCAGAACGGGTTTACCTTTCCACCTTTTTCGCTGGAACTGTAACTTGTATCTGTCAACATTATTATGCACCGGTATTGATACATCACCACCATCCTCATTAGGCATCAAAGGCTCCTGTATTACAGGAATAAGAGGAAGAACAGACAACTCAGGAGACGACTGAGTCCTGTATTTTTGGAATAACAAGCAACTCAAGAGACGACTTTGGGTCTGGTATTAGAGGAATAACAGGAAGGACAGACAACTCTGAAGACTCAGCTTCTTGATTATTCTCCCCCTGAAGCTGAGGACTGGGATAAAAAGACTCAGATTCCTGAAGTATATCCTATGAAGATACATTTAATAGCCCGAGGATCTAACTTATCCCGATGAGGACCATGAACATGGACAAAGGCAGAACAACCAAAGACACGATTCTGAAGACTTGACATAATGGACACGGATAGAAAGAATCGAGTCAAGACCTGCATAGGACTAACACCAGATAACACCTTAGAAGGTAACCTATTGATTAAATAAGCAGAGGTCAAGACAACTTCCCCCCAATAAAATTTAGGAACATTCATTTGAAAGCCTAATGTTCGGGTGATTTCAAGAAGATGATGATTTTTCCTCTCAGCAACCCCATTTTGTTGTGGAGTGTCAACACAAGTCAACTCATGAACAACACCATTAGCTTTTAGAAAATTGTGAAAATTTTGGTTTACATACTCCTTAACATTGTCTGACCGTAACCTTTTAATAGGTTTCCCAAACTTTGTTTTAACCATTTGAAAAAAGTTAACAAACAATTGACACACTTTAGACTTATCTTTCATAAGAAAAACCCATGTAACCCGAGTACAGTCATCAATAAAAGTAACATACCATTTTGCACCAGAAACATTTGAAATGGATGAAGGCCCCCATACATCAGATGAACAAGATCAAAGGGTTCGACACTCCTAGTATCACTAGGGGAATAGGTTGCTCGATGGGATTTGGAAAACTGGCATACATCATAATGAAAGGAATCAACAGACACTTTGGTAAATAGTGTGAGGGAATAGAGACCTGAGCATGCGGAAAGGAGGATGTCCAAGACGCCTATGTTGGACCCATATTTGAGTATTTGCCCACGACTCTGAACCAACCTGATGACACTTGCTTTCCTTATGGGGCAGATAATATAACCCGTTTTGTTCCTCAGCAATTCCAATCGTCTTCCCTGTGGCAAGGTCCTGAAAAACACAATGAGAATGAAAAAAGATTATAACACAATTCAAGTCTTTAGTGAGTTTATGGATGGACAAAAGATTGTTAAAAAGCTTAGGGACATGAAACACATGATTTAGGTGGAGAGATGGGCTTAGGCGGATGTTACCAGATCCGACAATCGGGGTTTGGGACCCATTTGCAACGGTAATATGACGTTTATTAGGTAAAGGTGAATAAGAAGAGAGATATGACATATATGGAGTCATGTGATCAGTTGCACTAGAGTCAATAATCCAGATATCTTTAGAACAAGAGGCATTAAAAGTTAATGAGCTAGAGTTATTACCAGTCATGGTCAAAGAACTAGTGTTAGAGAACTTACTTAAGGAGTCCATCAAGAGAAACAAACCGTCTCGAGCCAGGAGAGTCGAGATCTATTGTTAGGAGAGGATTGAAGGACTGCCAATGAGAAACTCCGACAAAGATGACAGCCAAACTATTAAGGATTGCAAACAGCAAGAAACAAAGGTACAACAATGAAGGTTGTCCTGAAAACAACAACGAAGGTGAAACCGTCCGGATCTGCAACGACGGTTGAGCGGTGCACGACGACTGCAAAGTCACCGAGATCACTAGGAAGAGAAAGCGAACATTGACCCAAGAAAAAAGGACCGTAATAAGAACGACTAGTGTTTTGAGCGCGGAAGTAGAGCCCCTAAATCGGGTGCTCTGATACCATAAAGAAACAAATAATTTGTATTTCTTTGATATTGTAGTAAGTAATACATGAAAGATATTTATAAAATACAAGAGACAAATCACTTTAAATGCTAATTCTAAATATGGTAGAAGACAACTAATTACTAATTATTAATAACTAATTATTAATTATTATTTACAATTAATATTATGCTGAGTTGTATAGATTGTGTACTAATCTCTCTAAAATAACTTCCAACAATTTTCATCAAAATGCGTTTTACATTAGAATACAAAATTCAGTTTCTAATTTTAAGTTTACAGTTTTTACTTTTGTTTTTGCTTTTTATTTTATTTGGCAATATACAAGAACTTATAGTTTCTTCCCAAGTAGAAATAAAATGAGTATAAATAATGTAGTTAAAAATTGGAAAACATTGTGCGCGACTGTTAGAATATCTTATAAATTTTTTTATACTATATTTGAGCATCAAACAAGATATACTGGGATCGGTTTTTTTCTTAAAATTTGATTCTTGATTTTCCTATCTATTTAGGATTGACTCAATGTATATCCTATAAATTGGGATTGATGTTTAGTCTTTTTTTTATCAAGTATCAAATGATTATCAATAATATTCAGCGTCCTTATTTTTATACAGTGTGATTGAGGGGAGAAAGAGTGAGATGTCAACCATAAGATTGAAGTGGCGAATTAAATGGAAGAATTTCTTTGGGGCGATATGCACAAAATATTATTACACAAATTAGTTAGTAGTGGTACCAACCTAGTTGAGATAACTTGATCTAGTAATGCCCTCGACACCCTTTTTTTGCTTATAAAATAAAGTTATTTAGTGGTAAAAATTCAACAAGAGAGTAAACTTATTGTATGGAGATGAGAGATTTCCAATAAATGAGAGACTAGACAAGCTGAGATTGAATTAGTAATACAGCGCTCATAGTAGGTCTTATAATTTGAACTTTAGGCCTAACTCAATCAGAGTTATTAATAGCGGCCGCTCCAGGCGCTATCCCGGGATTCTCTCCCGGTGCGGCAATCCTCCGCTACGGAGGAGCGGTGCGCATCCCAGTTTTGGATAGCGGCCGGGAAAGCTGGGATAGCGGGAGCGGAACGCTTCCCGGCCCAGAGCGGTTTTCTGCTTTTAGGGCTTTTTGGAGTGCGAAATGATCTTTTTGCCCTTAAAAAATTTTAAAATTGGAAAATTTATTATAGTCCTTCGTGTTTTCTCCTCTCATTCGTGTTTTCACCTTTTTCCATCGTGTTTCTTCTGTTCGTTGCTTCTCGCGTTTTTCGCTAGCTGCTTCTCTTGTCCTAACTCCTACTCCGCCTCAATTGCTTCAAGCTTGGCTTCGAGCTTCTTTCTATTCTTCTTCTTCTCTACTTCAGTTTTCTGCTTTTCTATTTTGTTCTCTATCATGTTATTCTCTATTTATTGTTTTTCTATTCGTTTTCAAGTTGTTTTTTTTCATATAATTAGTCCAAAAAGATATTTAATCTACAATAAATATATAGGTAGATTATTCATATAATTAGTCCAAAAAGTTATCCCGCTATCCCATTTTTGGGGTCGGCCGCTCCGCCCTGCTATCCCATTTTTGAGGTCTGCCGCTCCGCCCTGCTATCCCATTTTTGAGGTCTGCCGCACCGCTATCTGGGATTAATAACTCTGAACTCAATTTCAAAAGCAAGCTCACGAGGTGACAATTGTTCAAGTCTTGTGAGTATTATTTGGTTATTGATTATGGAATCTCAACATCGCTCATCCCTAATGACCAGAATTAGACCAGGCAAATTAGAAATACAACCACTAGTAAAAAAACTGGGCTAGCCCTCATTGTAGATCTTGTAATTTCGGCTTTAAGCCTCTTAATCCTAAAAACTAGCGCTAGAGGTGAGGACCTCTCAAGTCTTATATGGGCTACTTAGACCAAATTTCAAGTGGATGTGAGATCTCAACACCCCTCTCAGACCCTAGATTGGACTTATGGAGCGTGGACAATTACTGATTGAATAACAGAGTTTTGCTTAAAAACATATCTTGGATAAACTTTGATATTTTCTTAGAGTTTCTATTTTAAGCGCAATTCATCTTTAAAAACTAGCTTAAAAGGTGTGGATTGCTAGAGCCTTATAAGACTACTTGGACCATTTTCTAGTCGATGCAGAATTCCAAGTTTCCATCGGTAGAGATTAGAGATGCTGGTAGAATATTGACTAGGGTGATTTAGGCTGTACAGAGAAGACTTGTAAAAGCATAGTAATGAACAAGAGTAAACTGGATGGTGAATAGTCCAATACTATCGATAGATGGAGACCAAAGAGAACCAATGGCCAAACCATTATAAAATTGATGCACTGCTGAAAGTTGAACTGTTACTAAGCATTTATTATAAAATATTTTTTGTAATTTCTAAAATTAATCGAAATATCTCTCCATCTATTTCCTTGACTGGAAATTTATTGTTGTTTGACTAATGTCACTTTATTTTGCTTTAGTGATGAATTATGAGTGTGCTTGCTTTGCTTAGCTTATACTGTTACAAAAGTCGTACAATAATAGAGCACTGGCATCACTTTCTATTCTTAATCAATTTGTAACTGAATTTTATTGTTTTTCTTGCTACTTTCTAGATATTGCGAATATATCAGCAGAGGTGTGAAATTTTTGACTCAGTCATTCACTCCTATGGTTCTATCCCTTACACCTGGGACGAGCCCTGCCATCCTCATCGTCTTGTTGTGGAGGTAATAAGATTTAGTACAATGAAATCCCGTATATGACTTGAGCTAACACTGTTTGTTAACAACATGGAAGGTACCTGGAGAGCGAGTTTTGGGGTGGTATACTCTTGATGATGCTAAAGAATATATGCCAGTCTACTTGCCATCAACCTCTGAGGTACAACTTTTTACATTTTCCAAGATTAAAGAATACTCTCAGCATGTAGTGATGATATACACAGTAAGATTTGCATACTTTAAAATTGGCTTTAATGTTGGGATATCTTCTACTGGCAAACACTTTTTGAAGCCATAATATATATTTCAAAGTTATGTTACGATACAATAACTAATTTGTTTGAATAGAAATTTCTAAACCTAACAAGTTTTGCTTAATGGGCCACATACTATAAAATGAAAATAATTATAAATGTTACTATTTACGATCTATTATTTACAACATTAATATGAGTTTATATTTAGAGTACAAATCTGGATTCCATGGTAATCTAATGTTGCTTATGTAAACGATGATTCCAGAAGCCAGAGAGGACTTTCTTTGTATCAGTTCATGCAGAGGGAGCAATGAAGGTGACTCTATTAATTTTAGTTCATATATCTGACTTGAAAAATCACAACTCTTACCTTTGTGGATAATTTTTTCTTTCTTTCAGGTCCTCAGTGTTCTTGATTCAAATTATCATAGTTTTAATGAACTGAAGAAATCAAGTGCTCCAAGTGCTACAGAGAAAAGGTTATATGATCATAGTCAAGTTAGACCTGCAGAATATAAAGAGAAGATATCAATTTCTATTCCATATATTGGGATTTCCTTGATTAATTCATACCCACAAGTAATTGAACTGTGAACTTTCGGATTTGATACACTTCTACCTCCTTAATGTTTATTAATAATAATAATTTAATTTTCTGTAGGAGTTGCTCTTTGCCTGTATTCAAGATATACAAATCAACCTAATGCAAAATTTGGATCGCCAAAGGCTTTCCATGCGGATATCATTCATACAGATTGATAACCAGTTGCGCTCTACTCCATATCCAGTTATGTTGTCCTTCGATGGTGGATATAGGTCCTGTCAAGTTGACTATATGAAATCTAGGGATGATGTCACAAGATCAAGAATCGAAAAATCAAATCAAATCAATTTCTGCAGCACCTCTTCTATTCCCGTTTTCTCCCTAGAAATATCTAAGTGGAAGAAGAAAGACATATCATTTCTTTCGTTTGAGTACATAAAATTGAGGTTTTTATCTAAGTTGGCCACATCTTTATAGTTTATTGGTGTTTATAGCTTACTAATGATTTTTGGTGTTTATGTACTTATGCTTACAGGATGGCAGATTTCCGTCTTGAGATTGAACAAGAAGTCATATTAAGCTTATTTGAGTTCTTTACAAATATCTCTTCGGAGCTGCAGTATGGAATCAAACCATCTTCAAATCAATATTATGGGGCATTACTAAAGGATTCATCCTCAGTTGTTCAAACTAGTGAAAATTCAAGATTGAATGCTGACCAAAGTCTACTTGGATTTGCTCCTGTAGTTGATGCAAAATCTAAGAAAAGTGCACCATTGCCTTCTATCATTCCAATTGGAGCCCCATGGCAGGAAATTTATCTGTTAGCCAGAACCCAGAAGAAAATTTATATTGAAATGTTTGAATTGGCACCAATCAAATTGACTTTAAGGTCACCTGCTCATTCTTATATTTATTCTAACTACATTTTTGGTTGATTATATATTGTATTTAAAGACTTACTAACGCAATTTATACAATTCCAGTTTTTCCAGTGCACCTTGGATGCTTCGCAATAGAATACTCACATCAAAGGAATTTCTTATCCATGTAAGCATTGTTTCATTCTTCTTAGAATGGTTGATTCTAGTCCAATAGTGCTGGGCATGAGGGTGTCTCTTAAGAGTGTCACATCGGATCAGATGAGATAGTTTTGTAAGTTTGTGTTAGGGAGTTTGGAGGGGAAGGAAGGGGAGAGATTTGAAAAAAAGGAAAGGATTGAGTGGAAAAAATTGAGATTTGAGTGGAGAGGGTTTTGGGGGGATTTATTTTTGATGATACAAAATTGTATTGGAAGAGGGGTTTGGACGATTTTGGAGGGCTTAGATAAATTCTACAACTAAAATTTATATTTGTTATAATATTCTAAAAATTAAAAATTCATTAATGATAAGCATTTATTTATCATTTTATTCGAAAGAAAATCTCAAAAATTATCAAAGATTTCCCTTTTTTTTCTTTATATTCCCTTTTCCAAAGTCTTCCGTTCTCATCCTCTCCAAACTCGCAAACAGAGCCTAAATCACTTTAAATACGTTCTTATCCCCTCCAAACTCGCAAACAGAGCCTAAATCACTTTAAATACTTGTAAATTTCAATTCATAAGCATAGCTAGCAAATAAGATAATTAAAATCTTAAATCACATTTCAAATGCTTAGATAAATTTAAATTTATTCATAAGCATAGCTTCATGATAGCAGAAGAAAGTCATTAAGTGAAGTCATACAAGCTCACAACTCAAGTCTAAAACAAGAGAAGTTATACAATGGGCGATCCCATCCAGTCTTACCAAAATAACTCTTAATCGCTGTGGGTAAGCAGAATCGCAAAATTGTGGGACTTTACTATTCATATTGGGATTTAACTACCATGAGTGTAATCGCAAAGCAGTCTCCTGGAGCCATCCTAAGTGCTCTGCGTAGCTACTGTTAAGGAGAAATTTCTAACCAGCTCTCTACGTGGCACTGCTATCCACAAATCTCTTTTTCTTTCTTTCATAAACTCTCCAAAGCTTGGGCTTATCATGCTTAAAGCCCACTAAAGTGTCACGGTGTCGCCCTCTATTGGAGTGGGCTTATCAGTCTGAGTTCGATTTCTATCCAATTTTAGTCAGTGAAGCGGAAGGGTTCAATTCTGTACACCCATTTAATTGTCATTTTTAAAAGCTTTAAAAGTTCCTGAGATATATAAATGGACAGCCAACTCCCTAAAAAAGTGGTTTGTGGTTTGTTTTTTAACAAATGATTATATATAATTACAGAGAGGTCTCATGGCGCTTGCTGATGTTGAGGGAGCAAATATTTATTTGAAGGATTTAACTATTGCGCATCACATGGCTAGTTGGGAGTCCATTCAAGAGATTCTAATTAGGCATTACAACCGTCAACTACTTCATGAGACTTATAAGGTAACGAGTTAATTTGCATCACAAACTTTTTCTCTGTTTCCGCATTTGACATGCTAGAAATGTTAAGTATGCATCAATACCCGAAGTTATCTTATTTCAATTGTCTATCTCGATTCTTAGTAATTTTCTTTCTTTGGGGTTGATGTGTTATCTTTGATGTAATTTTTATTTTGATAGATTTGATTGGTTATATGGACATTTTTTACATACAACATATTGTATAACATGATAGCACCAAACATAATGAATGGATCTTCATTACTTTTGTAGATAGTGCATTACCCTTAAACAACCAAGTGTAACATCTGTATAACCACAATGTACCTTTTTATCTAAATTTGTAGTTGTTTGGTTCGGCTGGTGTCATTGGTAATCCCTTGGGTTTTGCAAGGAGCATGGGGCACGGCATTAGAGATTTCCTGTCTGTGCCTGCCAGTAACATTATGCAGGTAAAAAGCTTTAGGGTGGCCCTTTTTTCAATTATTTTTGCTCTACTTATGGAACAATTTAGTTAAGCGTTATTCATTTAATTTGCAGAGCCCTACTGGACTTATTATGAGCATGGCTGAAGGCACTACTAGTCTTTTCAGTAACACTCTCTATGCTATCAGTGATGCAGCTTCTCAATTCAGTAAAGTTGCACGCAAGGTGTTTCTTGCTTTGATGTAATTGTAGTTTGATCTATAATTTTACTGTTTTTAATCCTTGCCAGCCTTTTCTATTTTCAGGGTATTGTTGCGTTTACATATGATGACCAAATAGCTTCAAGGATGGAAAAACAACAGGCATCTGCAGCTTCTGATAGTAAAGGTGTAATTAATGAAGTCTTGGAGGTGCGTAGTTGGTTTCATGTGAAACCTTTCGAAAGATGTGTTTTTATTGATTCGCGTAACCGCCCACGGTGCACCTCACCGCCTGCAAATTTTTCAGCATGATGCAGATTGTTTCTATGTATATTAAGCTGCTTTGCTCATCCATGTTATTTCAGGGACTAACTGGTCTTCTTCAGTCTCCTATAAGAGGAGCAGAGAAGCATGGTCTTCCAGGTGTCCTGTCAGGTGAATCAATGTGAATGAATTGCTTTTGATTTCTGCCTTATAATTTATTGTTGGAGATGGTCTTAGTTTTTGCTTGTTTACTGATTGTGCTTTCTTTTTCATGTTTCTTTAATGTAGGATTTGCATTAGGGATCACAGGACTTGTGGCAAAACCTGCAGCTAGTATACTCGAGGTTACTGGCAAAACTGCTCAAAGTATTAGAAACCGTAGCAAACCCAATCAATTAAGATCGCACTGCTTTAGGGTACGGCTTCCACGACCACTTCACCATGAGCTTCCTTTGAGATCTTATTCATGGGATGAAGCAGTTGGAGCATCAGTCCTTATGGAGTCTGATGATGGCTTGAAGTTCAAAGACGAGAAGTTAGTGGCTTGCAAAGCCCTTAAAGAAGCGGGTAAGTTTGTTGTCTTAACAGAGAGATGTATAATGACTGTTTTCAGTCCAAGTTTGAAAAACTTGGGCAAGCCTGAATTTTGCGGCATTCCGGCTAATTTGGAGTGGATGATTGAATGGGAGATTGGATTGGAGAGTATAATACATGCTGATTGTGCTCAAGGGGTTATTCACATTGTTGGTAGTAGACCAGACTCGTCATTTATGCATAATCAGCATTCTTCGAAAAGAGGCAGTAGCAGCAGAACAAGACCTGTGCGTTGGAACCAATATCCAACTCATCTTCCCCTTCCTCAGACAGACTTAGAACTAGCATGTGAGGATGATGCATCCAACTTATTACAGATTTTGCTGTCCGGTATAGAAAAAGGGAAAGGCAGATCTTGGGATTGTGGGCGGATCTTGCATCGAGCTAATATGAAGTAGGACACAGTTTAATCATCCCTCCCTTTTGAAAAGCCCACATATTTTAAACAGTACAGCCATAAATTGGAATTATCAAGGAAAACGCTTTGGTTTTCTTGATCCAAAATTAAAGAACACGAGGGAAATATTTAGTTAGTAATTCAACAGTTTTTAGGAAAGAAGATACTGTATTCTTTTTCTTGTACCTTGTACATTTATGTATATCCTCCTTGTTGTCATTGATTTTTGTAAATATCACTGAGTTTGTTACTAGATTATTCTTGTTATTCAAGAGCAATTTTGTTTGAATTTACAATAATTAGTGTTCTAGTTCTAACGTTAAAGATTGACGTATTCGTTTCGTAGGGTTTGCTTTCTTAATTATGAGCTACTCATTTAAAATTCTCCTCTTCTTCCCAACATGGTTTGTTCATAGGAAAAAAAAATGTTGTCTCACACTTCTCTAATAATTGGCCAAATGTATTATTTTATATAGTCTATATACATATTCACAAATTAGTGTCATCATTAATTTTTTTTATTGTAATCCTATTAAATATCTCAAGCAATTCTATGTAAATTGGTCAGATCCCAGTAAATTTATTTAAATAAGAAAACTCAAGTTTATAAAATATGGAGCGATTGAATGAAATGAAACACTTTCCTACTTTTAAATGGTTTACAATGTCACATTTTATTTGTTTCAGATTACACTAATTAAAATATAAGCATACATATACGAGCGTTTTACTTGCCACCCCTACAATTTTCTTAGCATCACCTAAAATGTATGAAAAGACTAAAAAAGCTCAACTAAAATTTGTCACCATTATTTGAAATTTGCAGTAAGCATTCAAAATTTTGGAATTTCTGGGGTGATATTGGAATTTTCATAAAAATAATGAATTTTTGGTATTTTTGCAAAAATTTCAGTAAATTTGCACGAAAATTTGAAATTTTTTTAGTATTTTCAAATCAGAAAATTAAAAATTTCTGATTATGTTGTAGCCGTATTGGAATTTTTTTTTTTAAAATCTCAGAATTTTCAAATTTTTTGGTAGTTCATTTTTTTTCTTTTTTTTTTCCTTTGCTTTAGTGAGGACCAAGGGTAAAGAAGGTTTCATTGTGGGCAGGCTGACTGATAGAACGGAAGTTCGGGTCCGGGCTGATGAGACACATGCTTCTGAGTTACGGGCTGGACGACTTTCTCTGATCGATTCTCACCGAAAACGGTTGGCTGAGCAAGCGCATTTTCGCACACCTCAACGTTGGGCTGCCAGAGTTGCTACTCCTGTGGAGGTATCGACTTCCGTGGAGGTACCTACTCTTGTGGAGGTTCATCTCCTGTGACTGAGCAAGTTGTTGTGGAGTCGATAATTGTTGAGGAGGCTCTTGCGGCAGTTGTTGTGGAGGAGACAGTTGTTGAGGAGGTTATTATGGAGGAGACAGTTGTTGAGCAGGTTGATGAGGTGTCTCCCACTGACGCCACGACTCGTGCATCTACGAAGCCATCAGTTCACACTGATGGAAGTTTTCCAGGAGGACCTTCTGGCAGGTCCGTGCTCACAAGAAATGCTGACCATGTCGCATACAAAGTTTGGCAGGGCGAGGTATATATGTATCTTTTTATTGCAAATTATTCATTATGGCTCGATCAAGTGTTGAATGTTTACGTATAATATTTTTAACTTTGTTTCTTACAGGAGCGTCCGACGTTTCAGTACAACAAACATAAATTAAAAAACACTAAACATGAAAACCTAAGTATTATCAGATGATTCTGGACGTTTCAGCATCTTGATTATGTCATCGACATATCTTGTGTTATCTACGCATCCAACTCGATCAAACCTTTAGTTATTCTACGGCGAAATAATTTCCTCATGGTCTTGACATCTTCATTGGTATTCAACTCAATCAGGTTGTATTTCACCATTCCATTTATATCAATCCAATCTTTTTGAAAATCGATCTTTCTATCTCTTCTATTATCGGAATCTGTCAGCAATTCATTCAACTTGTCTTTTAAGTTGGCAAGGGATGTGGCGCCATCTGGAAGCTTGAATTCAACATGAGGATTGTTTCTGTTGAATTACACTTTTGTCTTAATCAGAAATTGAGAAAAAGGCATTTTTTGTGATGTCTTTCTCTATAAATCCCCTAAATATACCAGTGATAAATTTCTTAGGGTCTTAACTCTTATTCCAAAAAAACAATAAGAAATGATGAATGCTTAGAACTGTTATGTCCTGAAGGCATTTGCTTAGAAATCACTAAGAATAACTCACTAAGAATAGTTAAGGGGGAAATGCCCTTTTCATTTGGAAATTTAAAAATGTCCTTCATGTGTTTGGAGATGTATCTTCAGACGCACTTAAAATTACATCATTCTTTGTCTTTTTGATATTCATCCTATTTTGAACGAAAGATGGTCCGTAGATGTATCTCCATATATTATTTGAATTGTATACAAATATGCATCTTTGAAATACCCTATGTATTCATTTATGGTGTTTTGATTCACTGAGATGGTTTAATTAATAACTCAGTGATGTTTTCAGAGATGCATCTCTGAAAATGTCAAGCGGAAAATTGAACAAAATATCATCTTGCATGATCTTTTTCTTCATGTTGAACCTAAACTCCATTTCAAAACCTTTAAAAAAAATTTCTTTTATTCTCAATTAACTTTTCAACACTAAAACATTATTATTGTATTTTATCACATCAAAAGGAGCAAAAGAGGCTGCAATTACAGGTAAAGTTCATTATTTCATCCCTCATTCCTTGCATTAATGTATTTTTTTGACTGAAAAACTGAATGTTGAGTCCGGATATGCATCTTCGGACTCAGTTCATGTGTCACAAATATATATCTCTGAATTTGTTTGATAATTTGAGTTTTAAAGCTATTTTTTGATATTGTTGATATTAAACATGGTCCAACCAAATATATTTCCCGAAGCTATTGTGAGGATGGATGTTAAACTGAATGAAGTAAAGCATGATGTTAAACATGATGAAGTGAATGATGATGTTAAATCAGGTGATCAACAAGTTGTTGTAGATGTAGATGTTCATGCATAATTTACAAATAAACAAGAGTTTATTGTTCGTGAACATATGCTATGATGGATTTGCATGAAGGCCAGTAAATTGTTGTTTGGCATTGTAATAGAAGGTCCCACAATGGTTCAGATAGAAGAGAAGAATTTGTAACAATGAGATGCGAAATAAGTGGCACGTACCAACCACATATTAGGAAGTTGAAACGAGATGACACTAAATGAGAAAATTTGAGTGTCTGTTTAAATTAAGCGGATACCGAAGGTAGATGATACATGGAAATTTAATGTGATTTCCATTATACATAATCATTCCTTGAGTGACAAGTTATCAAGTCATCCCATTATATGCCTCCTTATTTCAAAAGAGAAGGAACTTGTTTAAGATATAACATTAAACACAGTGGCATTGAAAATATATGTTCGCATCTTTGAAATGAAAAAGACCTCTAAATATTTCAAATATCAAGCAAATATACAACATGCGTGCTCAAAATAACAATGCGGTAAGAGGACCGAGATCTGAGATGCAACAAATGTTGTAGCTTTTGGAAGATGACTGCTGTACCCTAAAATTTTCCCTCCCATTTTTTACTCAAGACATGCTCATTGAGATCCTCAATTGCTCAAGGTTGACCAGAGAATTGATCAGACAAATTCTCCTCCTAAGCAATGAACCTCCAACTAGGGTTTCACTGTCCACCAAGATGTTTGGGTTGCAAAGGCTCCAAATGATTTCCATGGTCCTTAATATGTCTTCAAGAATGTCCATGCCAAGTGTGATACGGTGGGAGAACTGACTATGGTTTTGCGTTTGTTTTCGCAAATGTTTCGGTTGAGCAAGAGTCGCCACCAACTTTTTATTTTATCCTAAGGAAAGGTTTAAAAAGCACAGCAAAAACCTTTGAGATTTTTCTTGGGTTCGGGGAGTAGATTATAGAAGGGAAGGTATTAGCACCCTTTCTATCCATGGTTATCCATGGGCTCTTAGGTACTTGCTTAGATCAACTTGCCTTGGTTTTCAATTGTTTGAAATGGTGCTCGGTGTGTGGTTTTGAAAATGTTTTAAAAAGATGCCTTGTATAGGCTACCCTTGTAACAATTCTTTACTCGAATGTTTTACAAAAGGTGTTTTGTCTTTTGAAAAGATGTTTCAAGGTTTTTTTTTTGAAAGTGTTTGTGAAGTGTGGTTTGAAATTAGGCAAGTGTTTTCTTTGCAAATTGACAAGTACCTAAGAGTTATCTACCCTAAAGTTTTCTTCAAAGATTTTTGTTATGTTTTAAACCTTTTGACAATTTTGTTCCACCATTGCATTTGGTGGACAATCTTGTATTAGGAGGTGAAAGGGACGGGCGCGGGTCATCGTTTTAGACCATAATTGCAATAGTGCTACGTGTCTTTGGGCAATTTCTCTTTGAAAGGGACTTGATCATTTTAGGCAACTTTTCGAAAGCGTCATCGAGGGACTATGATCATTTGATTGTTTGTTTTACCCAAAGAAACCTAACATGCAATATGGCCCTATTATTTGAAGGCAACAAAGTGGAATACCCTAGGGGTGCAAGTGTGAGATGTGTTGTCCATTTTCATGCTTGTTTCTCTTGAAATTAGGTCAAACTATTTTGTTCTTTTTATTTACATACAAACCCTAATTCTAGCATAGTATATTTAGAAAGCGATAAAGTGCGAAAATTAAATTCCTACACTATTACAACACAATATGGGAAAGGGGGTACAAATATTTCAAATGGGGGATATTTAGACAAGAAATTAAACCTAGCTATTACATCATTTTCTTTGAATATTTACAATATAATTAAAGGCATAAATTAAATGGAAAAAATAGAATCAAGATGCAAAATGCAAAAGGAAGGTTTTTATATGTATGAAAAAGTATTATTTATATTAAATAAATAAAAATAAAAATGTATTATTTTTTGGAGTTTTTGTATTTT